ATTTTATCTTGTGTGTATGTTTGTCTCTTAAAGGGATTGCCACTTAAAAAAGTGATTAAGTTCACTGATTGGCATATCCTTGAGCCAAAAGCCTATTTTAGCACTGTTATTATTTGTTTGTTTATATTGTGTTTACCAAGCTATTTTATCTTTATTGTTAATCTTTATGATATTTTTCATGTGTATTTCGAAAACCACTTAACAGTTGATTAATTTTGGGTTTCCTCTCGTTTTTTTTATTGTTCCATTCTTTTTTTTATTTTTTATTCTACATATTTTGAAAGAAATAAATTAAATTAAATTAAATTAAACTACGCAGAAAACCTATTAATATTATTTACTATGATTTCCTGGCTGCAATAAAGCACTGATCATGGGTCATAGGGGCTATTCCTCAGAATGTTTTAAGGACTAAGAATTAATAATAGAATTCTTTCTTTTCTGTTCTTAAGATTATAATATAGTGTATATCTTTTGAAGCTGCGAATTGTTTCCATTTCTCATTGGGAACAGATAGTTGTAGATTTTTCATCTGTATGCATAACACATGAAAGTATATGATTTAATGAATATCAATTTTTATAGGTGTCATTAAATGATAGCAATTGTGTTACCGTGAACCATGGCAAAGAATATCCTAAATATAACCAAATTCCACCAAGGATTAAAGTCTATAAAGAGTCTTTAATCAAGTTTAACAAGTACCCCAAGAAATGTGTCATATTTATCAAATAAAACAGATATGCAGACGAATGTATTATTCATCATTTTAATGAGAAACAAAATGGCACCCTTGTGATATTTGGGTGTAATTTGTAATTTAAACAAAGTACATTACACCTGTCTCTTATACACATCTAGATGTGTATAAGAGACAGGCCTATATATGTATATTCAAGTAATAATAACATTGTTGTAATAATACTTTCGACCATAAGTCATCATTAGGTATATATACATATATAATAGGCCTATATACTGCAAAAATAGGTCAAAGGTCAATAAAACAGTTTTGGGTTGATATTCAGAAATTATTCTGTTAGAATATTTATGTGCATATTGTAAATATTTTGTTAAAAAAAAGCAGCTCTATACGACCAGTGGTTGCCAAAATATTACAATCACGCAAAGTTGAGGTCAAAGGTCAAAAACGCAATTTCCGGTCATTTCTAGAGAAAGATTGGCATCGTCTATTTAACATTTAACCTGTCTCTTATACACATCTCAACTCTGTACGACCAGTGGTTTTCAAGATATAGCTCCCTATATTTCCACCCCTAATTTGCATATTTATGCTAATAAGGTCGGCAAAATGGCACTTCCGGTCATTTTTGAAGAAAATGTTCCATTAGGGTAAATAGAAACATGCATGTTCTGAACAGCTTTAAGAAAGAAGCAACTTTCTACGACATGTGGTTACCAAGATATAAGTACCCTACATTTTCAGACCTAATTTGCATATTTCAGCTAATTTGCATATGAAAATGAGCGTAAAAAAATTGGCGACTCATTTTATTCGATTCAGCATACTTCAAAGTATATAATTAAAAAACAAAAACAAAATGATCACGAAATTCTCACGGGATGACATAAGCCACCGGACTAGCACCTAATTGTCATATTTTTCGCCCTTTGACCATTTTTGATACATTTTGAGTGACGCCCAACAACGGCCACTTTGCTCACATAAACTTGTGATTTTTTTAGGGTCAGTCGTGTTACGCCTTATCTTCAGAATTAGTTTATGTAGTTAATAAACTATAAATCACTTTTTACTGTATATGAAAATGACATGAGTATGCTTGAGCAATGTGTATTGGTTGAATGTAGGATAGTCCCTTAGATACAGTAGTATTTGTGTCATGTTAATATGTTTATGGTGAAGTTACGTGTCACTAACCATTTTTGTTGTGGTTAAGTTACAGCCTTTTTCATTTTAAATAAATTCTATAAACTGTACTTGTTTTACAGTTGTTTTCATGTTGACCAACTATTTCATTATGGGTAATGGGAGTTGTATTATACACACTCACAACTGAACTGACACTTGATTTATAACTATTAACTTTGTATTGTTACTGTGTACTACTGACTACAACATTTGCTGTGTAAATGATATTGAAAAAAAGCACAACGAAACAAATAATGTACACACACACAAGTAGAATTATATTCAACAATCCAGTAAAAATATAACATGCTGATGATAATCATCATAATATACTACATTAAAATTCTATTTGAAGAAGTCCCAAGAAATCATTCTTGCATTATATATTCAAGGTCATTTTTTTAAGTTGCTTGAAGCTCTCATAACATTCAATGTAAAGAATAACGTACAGTATTGTGAGTAAAGTCTGCAGGGGGTGCTGCTTACAGTGTAACCATGATGGTACCAACTAACACTATACTGTAAACACAGTGGTCTTACTTCTTTGGGACACAAGGGGTAATGGTGGGAACCTGTGAGGGAGTATTATCAAAGGTACTGGCAGGGATATTGAAAAAGACTGATTAACAGGTACAGTAGTATACGATTACAAAAAGTAGTGTGAACTCCTAAATATCTTAAAATATACTTCTCGACCGACTTTATACATGTCATTGTACATTAATTTCAGTACTGCAAAAGCAATTTATACAATTGTACAGCTTTAAATGCACACATCCACTATCAATACATTATAGAAAGGTTTTTGATTAGAAACCGATCGTGCAAGATTACATGGATTACTAGAAAAAAAACAATTTGCTATTTCATTATATTTTGTGTTGTAAATAAATGCCTGGTGCAGATAAATGTAATGTATAAATTGTATTTTATAACAAATGCTGCAATCAAGGTAATAATGTTTGAATACTGACACAAAGCAAACTACAATATCAATAAAAAACAAACAAAAACAGAGTCTAGGTTGAAAATTCTGTCAACTAGAAGCAACTACATCCCTCAACCTTATGATAATAATTACTATATTTATTTATAATTGTAGTGTAACTAATATGCTATCAATTTTATACAATTTAAAATAACAATGTTATTTTCAATTTAAAAAGTAATTCGATAGAAGTTGTAGATTGTTATTATTCAAAAGTAGATAATTTTAATTACTCAAAATCAGTGTCGGTGCCAGTGGGCATAAGGCCCCCCCCCCCCCTTTTGGACAGAGCTCATCGGGCAGCCAGACCATAAAAAACATAAAAATAGGCCCACATCAAGCCAACACATGTCTGTCACAGTCTAAGGGTGCCATTTCTGACCATACAGAGGTTCCCATTCTTTAAAAAATCTCATTTGGGAGGGGGATCCCTTGGCTCATGTCTCCATCGGAGAGTTAGCCCTCCCCCTCCCCCTTCAAAAAAAATATATATCCTAGAGCCGCCACTCCTCAAAATAGATTATTCTAATATGAAAAATAATGTTATTTTCAGTTTAAAATACATATAAGAATAATATAAGAATCTTCAAAGCTGAAGTTCCTTAGATTTGGTCTGTCTGTTGAGTGATCTGGTACTTAGGATAACAATCTGCTGTTGAATAATTGAATACATCACCTATACACACACTCATTGTTTATACTTCCTCTAACAAATAAATAATTACATGATACTAAATTATTAAATTTCAAAATAAATAACTATCAGTTATTTCAAAGCTTTGCTTCTTGAATTGTGCTACAACCTACAGCTGCTGAATTGCTCTCAGAAACATGTTTTACAAGTGTATATTTCACCATCGCGAAAGTGTTTCAAGAGGGTGAAGCCCACGAAAAAATATGAAAATTTAGGGATTGAAAGGCTTATTTAATCAATCCATGGTGCACCCCCACTGGCGCTACCCCTGGTAAATTTAACAAGGTTTTTGAAAATTGATGTACAGTTAAACTATATACATGCCAAATTGTTGTGTTTGCACTAATGATCTGTAAGTCAAATTATATCTAATACCCATTTCACACTGATGCTATTTTGCAAATATTAACAAGTTGTAACCAGGTTTGGATGAGTATGAAAGCAAATCCTTGTAAAACTTTCCGAGCTTTCACAGGGGTCCCCCGAGTTATCTCGGAACAAAAACAGACCATCGCGAGACCTGTTTTTTCCCCGAAATCTTCCGAGTTGTTGTTGCGCATGCCCCTATTTGACCTTTTCGCGGGCTGTGTTTTTTTTTTTAGTTCGAACGAATGGCAGTGTCGGCGGCCCGACTGCGCCTAGCTAGCCTAGGCCTATCTTTCTCGCCAGCTCGACTACAGCAAGTGAGCTAGGAGTTGAATTCGTTTTACTCTCCGAAGGCTAAGGACCATGGAATAATTATAATCTTGTTAATTCGGTACCAGGCCTAGTTTAGTAGTTAATATGTAATTTGGACAACCTACCTCTAGGCCTAGTCATTATTCTTCCGAGTTTTCCCGAGATTTCTCATGGTTTGAAAGTGCATGTGTGAAACGAACAAAAAATCTCGGAATATCAAACTTGTTACAACTTGTTAATAATTGTTAAAAGTTGTAACATTTTCTGCTAGTGTGAAATGGGTATAAGTTGAACAATTTTTCAATGCCATTTTGGATTCGACTTGGGCACGTTCAACTGTAATTAAATCTAAAGGGTATAAATTATAAAAAATAATATTTCTGTTGGAAGCTTGCATAATGTTCTACACTGAACAGACCACACCATTTCTTGATTTACTTTTACTATAATTTCTAACATTTTCTTAACAATTACTTTGAGTTTTTTATCTTAATGAATTATAGAAATGTAACATTCTTGAAATGAACTGAACATTTTGAATTTTTCAATGATTAAACAAGTGGATTAAACACCAACACATTATAAGTATGGATGGCAAATATCAATAGGTTTAGTTTACTTACATTAGAATACTGTTGGAGCTGTGGAAGCCTGAACTGATCATACATCATATTATACTGAAGCACTTTACTGTATTTTATTTATTAGTGGCAACCCTTGTGGCATATATTACATGGGAGCAGTGACAGAATAAACTCTGAATAAATATATGTTTCCAATCAAAGGCATGTTCCCCCCCCCCCTCCTACCCAGGGTTGTCATCTGCTGTCTTGATGACCAATACAAACAAGAGATATACAGTACTGTACAGTAGCTGATTGATACACCTGAATTAAGGAATTCTTTAGAACTTTAAGGCCTATATAGGCTTATTTTTGAAGACTCAATGGGTAGGCCACAAGGCGTAGGCCATAGCCTACAAGAAACCATCACACGATTTTACCTGTTAGCACCGACCAAAAAATGTATTACTGTATTAGTGTAGCACTGTATCTGAAAAGCTCTGACGAAGGTCTATAATAATAGTAAACTCATGACAAAGAAATATGCATTCATCATACTGTAGTGTGCGTGAACTGCAGCAACAAATATGCATAGCTAAATATACATACGTGCACAGATGCACTAGTTATATCATTACAGGATATAGCAGTTGGTGACTACTACAACAGTTTCAAAACTAACATTAAAAGATAGCAAATGACTTATAAAGGAATTAGTATAGTGCTTATCTATACACTAGAGGGAATTAATGATACTTAGGTTAGATTAATGCATTAAAAATGTTGTTTTTAAGCATTAATTTTACCTTTGTATAATAATTTCCACTAGTGTATGATGCGCAGCTATACTGATTGCTTATTAGTGAATTTGGTAGATGGTTGGTCAGTGGTACGATTTGTTATTGACAAATTAAGAAGGTTTAACCTGATTCAACTTCATTGATTTGCGATGAATTGGGGGAGCTTTACTGATGGTGTCAGGCTATAGCAACTGTGTAATGATTTTATAGAAACCAGGATTTAGACAGCCACTAACATACTGCTTACAAGAGCTTATTGCTACAATAGCCTTTCATAAAAATCTTCTCTGACTAGAGTATGTAGAGTGGCTCTTGAGGCTACATATATGTCCCAATAGATTGGTAGACAGCTCTTGCCTCTTCCAACTTTGGCGGGATCTGTTTAAAGAAAGCTATCTGCTTTTCTAAGAAAGCTTCAAGGGCTGTCTTAAAATCTTCTGTCTTCAGCTTGTGAAAATGATTCATTTCAGCTTAAAAAAAAACAAACAATAAATTAGAAAGCAATAATAACCAACAGAATCAAAACAGACAAGATAGACAAGTTTATGACTGGGCGATGGGTTGTCGGGATGGACGATGTAAGGGTGATTGATGAGAGAACAATATTCCAATATTCTAATTTCTGGCTTTTGAAGATGAATTTTTTGTCCACAATAAATAAATATACTGTAGAACCCCTATTAAGGGGACACCTTCAGGACTAAAAAAAAGTGTCCCCTTAATAGGCTTTTCCACTTAATAAGGGTGTCCCAAAGGAAGGGTTCTTCTTTATACAAAAAAAACCCCCCAAAATATATACCTGGAGCTCTATAAAGTCAGTTTTGCATAGGTGCTTACAACCAAACCTGAAATTTGGGTTTATATATGGGGTTGGAACCAAGGTGTGTATGAGGTAGCCCAAGGCCAGTGCCCTGAGTGTCAGTGGAGCCTATCAGAATATTATATTATGTCCTAAGGACAGATTTTCCAGAATGAATCGCATTATTTTTACAAATAAAACAAAATATTCTATGCTTTTCACATACCCATCAATGCATAGGTTACAACTTGTGCTCTTCTATGAACTTGGTCAGCATTACCACTGCTGATTTTTCCATCTTTGAGTTCCAATTGGCAGTCTTCATCTTTCGATGTTGTGTCCTGAGGAGACACAATTGAATATTGTATAAATTCTGTGTATGTATTTAATTACACTGGAGAACTTTTGATTGACAAATACTATTAATATAGCTTAAACCTCGCCATTTTTCATTAGAGTAATTTTAAAATATTATGATCTTTATTATGATCATTATTGTCATCAATGCTTACGGCATGTAACCAGCAACGCTTGAAGGGGGGAGAAGATTTCTATGAGAGAAAAAGGGACACCTAGGCACCATGTGGTTGGGTCGAGAAGAGCACTAGTACTGGTAAGGGGAAAAGCCCTCTAAAACTGGAGCATTCTTGCAAGTAAATTGTGAATTTCATCATCACATTGATGGGGTTTTTTTATGCAGGAGGAGAAGAGTCGTTTGGTTTATCAGAAAAGGTTTCCTAGGGAAGGTCCTGGTTATGGCAAACACCATCGGCACCACCATTACTGGTACTTACCTTGTGGAAACTAATCATATCAGGTATTGACATAAGTAAGCCCTCATAATGCTTTATGAAATCAGCATAAGGCTTAATATCCAGCTTGGGCTGAGCAGCAAACAGGTGCCCTATGGTGGTGTACATGCGACTTGTGTGACGCATTGCTGCCGTCAACTCCTGCGAGCCTGTTGGATAAACCACATACAATAATGATTGTGTATATTTTTAATCTATGTTAAAGCATAACTATTTTTACATAATGAAATTTAGTAAATCAAATTATTATTTGTGGCTTTTATTTATTAAATCAATTAAGAACATAATCTCAAAACAAAATTTAATGACAAGAAAGATCGACGTTTCGGGTCCATCATGGAACCATTCTCAAGATCAAGTAAATTGAAAAAACTAAAAACAGAAATACCAAGCAGTGACCGGAAGTAAGTAATTAATTTACATATTAATAGGGCCTACTGTGTGGAGCCATAGTGGAGCTAAGCAATAATTAGCCCTTCTTAACAGATTAACTAGATAAACAGTTTGGCTTTGACTGAATCAGTTTGTTTGTTAAGTGTAGGTTTCAGTTCTTTGATCATACATCTGTTCTATTTTCTCTATGATCATACTGTAGCTTGGTTGTTAGTCCATACCTACGATTTGCCGCACTGGTAAAGGTGGGACACATAAGAATTTATATTTCACAGCTAGTCTCTCATACAGCCACCAAAACTGTTTGTATCGTCGTCGAACATCACCCATTACATCCCCATCATGGGTCTAGAAAAAAAAAAAAAAATTATTAATCGAAAAGTTAATAAGTAAGTAAGTAATGTTAAAAAAATGTTGTATCTACAGAATATATAAACTTTTCCCATTATTATGCTATCAGATTGCCCCACTACCCTAGTAGTATCCCTTGAGTTATTAACAACTTAAATATGCACTAAAATCTTTAATACAGAAGTTGCAATGTTATTATGCCTACATCCAAATCCTATAGGCTTAATTCTTGCACATAAAATGGGTCACCATCAATTAACTATTAACCACTTCCACAAGTCTTGCAGTTCACTTTCTTATAAAGTACCAATACAATTTTATAGTCCTCTACAAATTTATTCGCAAGAAAATATGGTGACTTCACAAGTAGTTGGATGAATACAACAATTAAAGCAATTATTGTTATTTTTTTATAAGTAAACTCATTTTTTTTCCCCATCTTTCTGATAGCAGATATTTTTCACACACAATGAATACAAAAACTATATGTATATATCATAAATTCATACAACATTTTAATTTTGCTGTATAATTTCTTAAACATAATATTAATTATAATAATATAATATAAAAAAAAAAAAATAAGTAAAAATAAATATATATTTGTGTAGCATAGCGGATGTAGGCTCTCAAAGTAAACACCGTCAATGACGGCCTGTGTCTTCAGAAGAACATGGAAACTATTGTACAATAGCCAACAGTAATATATTTTTACAGGATGGAAATACTGTAGCTGCCTTAAAAACACCTTAAATATGTGTAGGCCTACATGGCACTACATAACACTCATATTTGTCTTTCTCTTACAACAATACACCTAATTGAACTTGGGGTGACAAAATGCCTGCAGTTGTTTTCCTTTAAATTAAATACCAGTATTGTTTTTTTAGTCTAGCAATGGTTGTCTAACGATCAGGTTTCTGAAAGGTATTTAGCTTGTTCCCTGAACCATGACTTGCTGAGATTTATTGTAAGTAATCGCTTGGTTGGTAGAACTAACTACCTGGGGTTTAAAGTCCACTTGTGGAGGTAACAAATATTTTATAGTTTATAAAGTAATATTTTTGAGCTTCTATTTTTCCACATTTAATTTGGCAAAACGAAAAAGAATAGCCAATGGTTGATTTTGTTGGTTTCTCCTACTTAATTTTTTAAACAATAATCAAAAAAGATTTATACAGGTTTATATTAACAAGTGAGACAACAACCAGACTTCATTTATTTAACTAGTCATGACCAAAATGTGAAACGAGACAATAACATTCCATCAAACTTCTCTATCCTTCCATCCACACTGGTGAACAATCCTTTTCCCTTTTTTCTCCCTTTATAGCATCTCTTTTTGCGATTAAATAAAGATTACTATTACTTTATTTAGTAAATTTTACACTTTTCTTTTTTGTTGATCCAATATAAAGAAACAAAACAAATATATTATTTTACTCACACTACTTTTCACAAAAGACCTGTTCACTTTCTCAAGTATATTGCCAATGTTACATCCAGTCCAGTTGTTTCTTTTTAAATTTTTTTATATTGGATCAACAAAAAAGAAAAGTCTATAATAATTATATTTATGGATTCAGATAAAATTATTCCAGAATAATAATAATAATAATAATAATAATAATAATAATAATAATAATTATTATTATTATTTAATGTAATGAACATAGTCTTTAGCACATTTCTGCTAAGTCTATTATTACAAGTTTATTATTATTTTTATTATGATCTATAATCAGGCAAATAATGATTTTTTCCATTTTCTTACAAAAGTTGTGATCTGGTAAGTCATGAATGTCTTGATGCCTCGGTACTTGCTGTCTTTGCGTGGACTTTTGATGACGCACTTAAACGGCCGTACCGTCTGCTTCCACTGAGGACCCAATGATGTTTCCTAAAAAAACAATAATATCTATGATCACCAATCCAACTTCTTAAATTGCAAAAGACTCTAAGTTGTATAGTATGTAAATAGAATAATGGAGACAAGCATACATACAACCCACTTGTAGACCTTATGCATTCTTGTCTATGAAAAAAATTGTATATTTGGCAATAGTTACCTACCAAATGAAAATGCAGTTCAATTAAAAAAAAAATTGCAATGGGGATGTCACAGAAATAATTGTATACAATGGCATCAAATGCCAGACCATAATTTAGTTGTATAATATTGAAGAGGAAGGAGAGAAAATGTGAAAACAGTTCTCCTTAACCTATAACAGTATATTGCGTACTTTGCCAGACAAATTTCATGGAAACTATTAAAAGAACAGAAAAATTAACGTTAATGATAATAAAGTGTGCCTGGTTTGTTGTTAAGTTGTTTTCAGGATTAACTTTGTGGTATGATGTTTTCCTTATGGAAAATTCACCTATAACAATTTAAAACAGGATCTAGCAATTAAAGGTCACAACTTTTCTCAAGGCTGTTTTGAGGATTTTCAACAACTTGTTTCCAGAATATAAGAATACTTTAGGCTAAAATGAATGTTACTCTACAGTAGATTGATAATGAACGATGCTTTATAAACCAAGGTTCCTTTGTTTATCCCAGAGATTGAAAGTCAAGCTAAATTTTTACTCCCTTTCAAATGGTACCAAGGCTTAATTAAATTGTATTAATTTGGTTATGCTCTACAGAAACTATAGTCTCATTATGAGAAAAAATGCTGTTACTGTGAGGCTGTTACTGTGACATGAATTGAACCCAGGACTCTGGGATTGGAAGGCAAGCACCTTCTACCAAGCACCACAACTCCATTCCAATATGGTATACAGTATGTAACTAGCAATCATACTGCCCTCAGCCTTAGTACACAAATGCACCTTTTCTAGTTCTGGAATCTTAGAACAAGATCACAATAGTATGCATAGCAAACTGCTCAGTGCATATCCTGAGAAAAATTACTGTGAACATAATTTAGACACTACTGCTGACTTCAAGAAAGTATAGGTCTGTCCCATACTATGTCATAACCTTGCATTTCTATGTTTTCGGTCTTCTGACACATGACACATACTGTATGTATAATGTAGTGTTGAAGATTATTATTGATTGAATATCATTAGAAATAACATATTACTACAAATAAAGAATATTAAAATGGGCTTAATAGGCCTACTCTACATGATTGATAATGCTCCAATTCCAAAAGATAATTCTTATTGACAATTGTTTGGGGTGGGTATTATAGTGGTATATTTTACCAGGAACCATACCATTATTATACTAACTGTGTACAATTCAATTTTTGTGGTTTTATTCTCATTCATCTACTTCAAATAATTTGGAAGAAGGAAGGGATCTAGAATTAAACCAATGAATGGCTCATTTTCCTATCACATGATGTATCAAAGCTCTGAAGAGGCAATAGATTAAGCCACCACTCAGCTTACCACAACAACAGCTGAACATGCTTCACTGGCTTTACTGGATTTGTTTTCTGTGTCCATTAGGTAGGCATCTCCGCCAGTTCTTGCAAACACGGAGAATTTACTAACAATGAAAAAAAAAAATATATTAAAAAAAAAATATTATATTATATGTCGTTGACTGGAGTTAATCTGTAGCAAGTGTATATTCTTACATCCTTTGAACCTCACCTTCTAATCCTGGCATCTTAAGTTCAAAACCTTCTATTTATAACCAAAAACACAAAAACTACTGCTCATTTTTTTAACACTTCAATTTGCCAGTCAATTTACATCCTCCTGCTACTGTATACTAACATCTCTGAGTGTTGTTAGTGAGATATTAAGAAGTTGTGACCTGGGTCAGTGCTGGTGCTTATTGATATTACCAGATGCTGAGTAATTTATAGAACATGACTAGTCAACAACTGGTATGGTGTTCCTCTTTAATAAATCATTTGACATTTACAATGTTTATTTATCTATCCGTTCATGCTTCCCAAAATCGAATGGTGTGAAAGGTCTAAAATCATGTGTATTCATCATGCTGTTTTGGTTATTCCTTATTAAAATAAATTGATGTTCTTATAATGAACTTATAACTGTTTTCTGTTTGGTTAGCAGCTGTTGCATTTTGAATATAAAGAATGAATGGGACCAATAACAACGAACATTTATAAGACAATACTTACGTATAGTAATAATAACCAATTACAGCTTTTGAATAATAAATTATTACCATATTAATATTGGTATTCTGTGGAAGGCAGTATCAATTATCATATGTCTGTGTTCAATGATAAAGAAAAAAATGAAAACTAAATAATCATAACAAAATATTATTTTTATAAAAAAAATACAAAAAAAAACCAAAAAAAAACCTTATGGTATACAGTATTATCTAAATTTTGTTAAACCATTACATTGAAATAGTTAATTTAACAGAACATACTTAGTAAGGCTTTTAATTTTTCTGACAGATCCTGATCTCATAACACTACTTGACCTTCGCAGGGTTCCTCGCTTTGGATTGGACAACCCAAAATTACCATGACCTCGCATTTTTACAGGGGTCTGCAAAAGTAAATAGTTTAGTTATGATTAAAAACAAAGGCAAAAAATTACAATACAAGGAGGTAAACTTTAAATGTAATATGGTACTTTAAAATAACAAACATCCTTAGACAGGAAGCAATAATGAATACGATATAAACAGGAATGAAATATTAAAAAAATTAAAGACAAAGAGTAACAATGTAAGCCTACTGTAGTCAGCTACTTCAGTAGTCTGGTCTGAGTGCTCAAAAACATTTCTAAGAATTTGTTGAGTCCACTATTTCCCAAATTAAAGGATAAATTGGATATCCTTTGTGGCTCAAAGGTCAATAAACCTCAAATAGTATCCTAAATTTATAACATTAACACACTGATTTCTTTTGTTGTTGAAATGACATCTAGAACAGCTACAGTAACAACTTTACAATTTGAATAATTTTACATTTTCATTGATATAATCTGATTTAAGATTGAACTTACTGATCTTGGTGTTGAGTATGAATTAGATGTATTAACATTCACATTTTGATAAATTTGACTCTCCTGATCGTCCCAATCATCTGACCAATTATCCTCCTCATCATCGACATCTTCTTCATCTTCTTCAGAAGAGTTGTTGTTTACATCAGAGGTGCCGTTGGAAACCAACGAGTGTTGATAAACATGCTGAAGGTTCTCTGGGATTTCGCAGTAGTTTCGTCTCGCCAAGGTGATTGCCCCATCTGGCCTCTCTAAAAAGAGATAAAGGTAAAAAGGTAGGAGAAAACCCATAACCCGCAGCGTCATTGTGCTGAACTGCATATTGACGTGGTCCGTGACTACCCAGAGACTGTAATGAGGCGCTTATAGAAGCTACATTTTCACATCATTCCACAACAGTAAGTATTCACTGAGTGATACCAAAGAACTTAAACAGCAGAAGAATGAGCTGCTCCGCGTATTTGTATTAAAATTGATGGAACATCCGGCCTCCCGTGAATGGGGTAAAATTTGAACATTTTACTAAGTAGAGAAAATACAGGAAACAAACAACCAGAGCGGCGCCTTTATAATTGCTGTATAGCGCCACCGTGCGGACAGGGTAAAATTACTCTCCGTGTACCCACAATGCCTTTCGAATGGATGTTTGACCATATTGAGAAGCTGTTCTATCTTCTGCTATTTATTATCTTTGGTGATACTGTACATACTACAGTGTGATCATGGAGAACATTTGCTCCGTGGTACTGTACAATACTGTATGCAATAAGGCAAGTTGTCAAAATGAATTTGCATGTGTCAAATCCAAGGTCAAGAGTAAAACTGCACATGATACCAAGGTCACACTATCTGTCACAAGTACTTTTTAAAGGATATGGCAGAAATATGATCATGCCTTTGGAGTGAAGAATGACAATTGGTAGCAATTTCATAACAATATTTAGCTGCTTTTTAACTTTACTACAGTATCATTAGTATAAGACTGTGAGTTAAAAAAACAAAACAAACCATAGTCCAACAATTAATATGTTTCCTTATTGATATGTCAAATGGCACCACAACCCACAGTTATTACATCATCCATAACATTGGCACTGGTTTGAGAAGCACAGCTAGCCTATGGTTCTCGAACAAGTCTTCTTGAAAAAGACTCTAAACCGTAGGCTCAGCGTACACAATTGGCTCATGTGAAAATTGTATAAAGAAGCCAGTACATCTTTCCAGATGAGTAGGGGGTTACCCTGGTGTACTGCTGGTTCATACAGCCCCTGTTGTGGACAAAAAAAAAATAACTGGCAGCTGTTTCCCAGGTACTGTAGTTCAGACACAAAAGAGACCCTTGGAGAGAAGAGAGTAACTACTGTATGAGCTAGTCCACGCTTCGAGCGCTTTGAGATTTTGGTGTAAAGCGATATATCAATCTAACTACATTGCATTACAATACTTATTCATTTTTTTGCGAATTGGCAAAATAAATTTGCTGTGTAACCTGTAACTTGAGCAGTTACAGGTACAGTATGGCAGTACAGTAAGGACATTATACAGTACATCTATAACTAGAGGATATTAATATCAATAATAAAACAATGGAGTTATGATTAATCAGAACAGAGTTTTAACAAAACTACATGACAGGCATGAAATATCATTGATCAACACCTTTCTATTATTAGTATACAGTAGTGTATAATTGTCAATAAATAGTCATTTATAAAGGTGGTTGTGATGCATCACTAAATGAGTCATCATCAATATCAACTTTATGGCGCAACCAAGTCCATTATATAAATGCTTAACATTTGAACCAGGTAGTGTAGTATGAAATTCATAAATAAGATAAAATGAATTAATTAAAAACACATTAAAGATAAATATAACAACAAATAAATTGTAAACGATTTTCAATAACTAAAATAACTGTACATAATATAACTAAACTGTACATAATATAACTAAACTGTACATAAATACTAATACTGTACATAATATACTGTAAGATGGTCATATGGTGCATATACCAGTGTACTCTGTAGAAATTTTTATAATACAGTAGAACCTCGATTTTACGTACGGTACGGGACCGGAGGGCGTACGTAAATCGGGGGATTCGTAAAATAGAGGTTGGGTTAAATTTGTGGTAACCTTTGACCTAATACGTACGTAACGCTCAATATACGTACGTATGTATGAACGAACGATGTTACCTAGCTAGGCTACCTAGACCAAGCCTCTAGGCCTAGGCCTACGAATAAAACCATGTGTTTTTATTCATCACTTTACGATGTCATAATAAAGCCGTGTGTCTAGTGTATTAATTCATCACTTTATATCTTTTATTTAACTAAAGAACATGAAAATGTTGTAAGATTACCTATACGACAAAGGTATAACTTGGGAATTCCCCTTCATACCTATTTTAAACAACAGAGCTGTGGTGTTGTCTGGGCCTGTTGAGACAAACTAAACCCATGAGCGCTGCACTGGGCGAGCCAACCAATTAGCGTTCGTGTACGTGAAACAGCAACCATGTGCACTGCACTGGGTGAGCCAACCAATTAGCGTTCGTGTACGAAACTATGCCTACCTAGCTTCGTGTAGAAAATTCGACCAGACAAGTGTTTCCATGGTTTGCCACACGAAGCTAAGGAGGAAAGCAATTATTTTGAGCACCATCGGTAGTTGTTCATCTCACTCAGTTCACGTGGTTTTAGATTATAACAACCCGGTATTAGACTCAATCAACGTTGCTGTTTAATGAAAATACGTTGCATTATGGTTTGTTTATTGTTAAAGTTTATTGTTATAGTCTTTTTACTGATGGTTGCTCTGAAAAGGGCCGTTTGTTTTGAATATTTTCGGGGTTTTTGATGATGTCATCGTCGATACGAGGCGTACGTAAAACCGAGGGTTCGTATAACTGGGGTACGTAAAAACGAGGTTCTACTGTACACTGATTTGGTCTACAGTAGTAAACAATGGTGCCGCCAGGATTCCCTGACGGGGGACCTGAGGTCCCCGACAAGGGGAGGGGGAGAGAGGCCCCAACAGGGAAGATTTCCCCGATGACAGCAAAGTGTGCGTGGTCGAGTGTCGCTTAAAATGTTTTGAAAGCGATCAAGGGGTAGAATCCCTTGACAATTTTGACAATTTAGGGGTTTCAATGGCTTATTTAATTGATTTTAGAGTCTGGTAATATGTACAATTACATTTTTTTTTCTTGCGACGAATTGTGGTTTTTCTCCTCGACGAGTGCTGGCGCCACCCCTGGTAGTAAATCTTATGAAAATATACGATTACTGTTTTAGTTGTATAGACATTTTACTTGCCCAAGGTGGTGTCCCTGCAGTATAGCTACAAAGATTACTGTCGGTTAGGGGACCGTATACTGTAGGTGTTCCCAGGCTGGTTTCACTTCAGAATTTCATCACATGGTCAAACACCATTGCCTTTCCATACCAACAGTCACTGTACAGATATCCCACTTTTTAAAAATTATTTAATTTAATAAATTATTGTAAACTATCGTATAGTATGCACACTCTGCAAGATTCAGGATACACTACATCATGAACATGAAATTAGATTAATAAAATAACAGCAGACCCTGAGCTACAGGTACTGATCAACAAATAAAGAAAACTTAAAACAGGCAAGATTAATCCTTCCCTTCCAAATTAACTCTAGGATACTACAGACTGACGTACGCTAATATAGTACCAGGCCAAAAAATCTTGTACACCTTCACATTGATTACTAGACTAGAAATACAAAATGCCTGGAGTAGAGGAATTTAATGTAATACAGTAAAGCCTACCTATAGCACGGCCTGAGAAAACCGGGTGGGGGTGGGGAGAGATTAAGGTTAGGGTCTGAGCCCCCACTTTTTGGCAGAAAAAACATAAAATCTATGCAGATTTTTGTATGATAGACCTTGCAATTCATATTCCTATTCATCTTACTAGTGGGCCCCCTCCCCCACTTTAAAAAACATTCCACCAGCCCTGTATAGTGGTGCAACATTTTAAACATAATTTTCATTTCAGAGCTACAGACTATAGCTTTACTACTTTTTAAAATTCTTAGCTTACTACTTTTTAAAATTCAGTGACTGCATTTGTATAGTTTCTCAGTAGTTTCAAATGTCATCTTAATCATTATCTTTTAAAAGTCAAAATAACAAATTTTCAATTTTCAATTTGTTTTTGATGTATACAATATTTTATGGTTTGGATACTTTATTAATTATAACCATATTATTATTTGACTGGGTTGTACTGTAACAGTCTGTGACAGGAGAATTTAGGAGTGATAGCCCCCTTCCTCATTGGCAACCAAGGACCACTGAACTTTTAAACGAGGCAGTTCAACTTGGTTGATGCCCAAATGGCTTCCTCAATTCCGGCGTATAAACACCAGGCATACTGTATTTGTTTAATAAGTTCAATGTATTGTGTACGCATGCAAGCAGGTGACTCCATGGAATGCAAGTCAATGAACCTTGCACAAGATTTTGTTCACATTGAAATCCATTTTGCTTCTGACCATAAAATTATGCTCCACTAATGTGTACGGCTGAGACAAGACATTGTTCTACTTTGTATCACTTACTTCCGTAAAGTCAATAATGATGAATTCATCAAAAATCAAATGTATGGGTAGTGAATAGGCAAACTGAACATTAGGGCAAGTTAATGTACAGATGAGCACTCCTGCAAATCATTGCAATGATGGCTGTTTGTCAAGGATGGATGGATAGATTTATTATATGGTGTAAACACCAAGGATAACCCATAAAATTCTGAAGACTTATTTCTATATGGGTCCTACTGGTGGTGATTGAGTACACCGGGCATATATCGTCGTCGTGCTCGGTTCTCAAAATTATGCCTTCTATTTTACCGATTTTACGCGTGCATCTATGGCCCGATTTTGATAAAAATACATGTCTCTTTTAGATTTTATGTTCTAAATTTTCATTTCTGAAGTGTATTTCTCGAATTTGTACTGTATTAAAAAAAAAATGCGACCAGATGTTTTGGAAAATTTCGGTCGGTCGCTGAGGGCAACACAATACATTTTTTTTTTTTGGCCTTATGTAAGCACAGTGCACGTTGTACAGTAAGCAGATGCCCAGTGACACGGCTCCCTGTTTACTCTATTGTCGTCATGGTTTCAAGGAATGCACATTGCTAGTTTTATGCACTGTTAGTATTACTGTGTTGCGTACAGTATTGTGCATGTGTCTTGTGCAGTATCAACAATAATAACAGGTCAAATGACAGCCGACCATGACATGCGGGAAGCATTGATACCGCTATCATTCATATCAAATAACTAAGGCTTGCTGCCAAGAGGAAACAGGACCTAAAACCTGTTTGCATGACCAGGTCAGCCTGCAACTTGAAAAAAAAAAAAAAACCCGACGAGGGGTCAGACTTCCCTGATGAAAGCAAAGTGGGCGTGGTCGAGCTTCGATTAAAAGTTTTCGAAAGTGGTCCAATGGGCGAAGCTTCCAAAAATTTATACAATTTAGGGGTTTCAAAGGCTTATTTAATCGATATTAGAGTCTACTATATGTAGAAAATACATATAATTTTTTTTTTCTCTCCCTGACCAATTGTGCTTTTTCTCCCCGACGGAGATTAAAATAGGTGTGGTTATACCCAGGTAACGCTAAAAAAATGTGATATTCCGCGTCTTCCAGGCGTTACTTCAAGAAGGGTTTATTCCACAAATGAGGCTCTGGAGTGAGAGTTTATTTAAGTGGGAGGCGTGGGAGGCAGGAAAAGATGGTGGGGGGAGTGGCCAGTTTCCCCCCCCCCCACCTCGATTATTGATCGCCTAAAATGACTCAGAAGTTATATTTCCGGGTGTCTAGAAAACAAAATTTCCTGGGGGAATCCCGGACCCCCATATGGTAGTGTTGTCTCTCGATCGCGCGCCCCTACTTTGGACACCTGGATCCACCCCTGGGGGAGGCGTCTATTCAAAGCTGTGAAATTTTCAAGGAGAGCAATTGCTCTCCTTAGTAATCCGAGGAGAGCAATTGTTACACCAGTTTTAAACCAATAAATTATAGTATTACTCTATAAGGCCTAGTCCTCTAATCCAATAACATCCAATATATATTAAGAATCATGAATTACTGAAAGGTCCACTGATTAATCTAAGATAAGACAGTATAATACATGCTTTTAGGTATTGCACGCCATTGTGTCGGGATTCAATATTTCGACATTAATCATGTCATCATCATTTATCTAATTAATTAGATGAAATAATTGCAAGTAAAAAAACAAAATTTGAATTTGAAAATTAAAGAAGAATTTGATGCTGGTAGCCTAAGTAAGTATTTTAGCTTTTGGCTACTAATGTATTTTTTTATGAAGGAGTTTTTTTGAATGAAGATACCGATTATATTTATATAAGTAGAACCTAATGAAGGTGGTACTCAGTTTACTATAGTAGTACTAGGCCTATGCAAGGAGTTGCACAACAAAAAAAACCAAGTGAAAAAAGTCCAGTGGAAAACATCTTGTATCATAATTAATATTGTATGGAGGTATATACTGTACCTCCATTTTAGATCTACTGTAGCCTATAGCCTAGGCCGATGTGGTACCCTCTTCTTGTTGTACAACACCGGACAGCATGTCAATGGGCCCAAAACAATTGTTACTGGATTATGAAATAGAGGTAGCCAGGAATACGGTACCGTACGTTACCTCGATAATACCAATGGTGACTGTCCCTAGGCCTTTAGCCTAGCTGCCGCCAACCCTAAACCTTCTTTATCATTACCGAGAAATCATATAAAAACAGTGCTTGACAGCGGCCTGGTGTACAAGTACAGGTAACATCAGATTGCACCGCAGCACCTGACACACGAAGTTCGATTTGATACTACTACTAGGCTAGCAATGTTCATTTATTGACAAAAAAGTTCAAATTTTGGTCTCTAAACAAATATAGTTGAAACGTCATTAACATGCTATAAGTGATAATAGTATACTTACATTTGAGATTAGTAAACATACGCCTAATTGGAAACACATCCTCCAGCTCTCAAATAAAGAATGTTGTCATTTTTCTCATCGCTTGATTGAAGTTTGTTGTGGTGGGGTACGTCTAGTATCAAGATGATCAGATAACTGGTGTTGTTGGTTGTTGGTGACGTGTTAGCGCCCTCTGAGTTATCACTTTATATACTATTATTGTTATTTTTTTCTTTTTCACATTTGTTTATTGTTTTTGTTTACTTTATTTGATTTTATATTAACAGAGAAAGTAATTTTAAAGGCCTATAATAACAATTTAATAAATAAGAATTTGCAAAAATAGTAATAAGATAATAATGACGATAATAATAATAATAATATAATAATAATATTTTTAATTAGTAACATTAGTTCCTGGAATAAAATTAATAATGTTGATGGTAATAAATGATATGACCATGTTAAGAATCATAAGAACAATTATAACATAATATTAATAATGTAATAATGAAATAAAAATAAAAACAAAATTACTATACAATAATGATAGTAGTAGTAATAATAATAATAATAATACTAACAATAACAACATTAATATCATTACTTGATATTAGAGACTCTTGAAGCTTGCTTATGAGCCCCTTGTGCATAGGCATTAACATTCATAATATGGGTTATAGAGTTTAGGGTAGTTTTTGTGTGCTTTTGCAAGTAAAGTTTTGAACTGGTTTATAGATTTGACTATTACAACAAAATTTGGTAACGAGTTCCATTCATTTATTGAACGAATCATTAATAATAGCATTAATAGTGAGGTTTTAGCTAACTTGTATTTTTCCAAATACTAGTAAAATACTGTATTAAATTAAAGTACTTTTTTATACTCCTCTGTTTAGAAAACTTTTATATTTTGTTTTCTCGTTGATTTTCTTTGTTTAGCTTTCTTTTTAAAATTTTCTTGATTTTGTATGTTTCCTTTGTGAACGCACCATCATTCTGATGTGTGCAGCTGATCTAAAAGCGTATGTTCAATAAAGTTCAGTTCAGTACTATCTTGTATTGTTAATTCCTATTGTGTTTTATTTTTGTTCATTTCAATATTCGATGCCCCCACGTGAACATTATACAGTACTACACATTTTATTGTTGGGCACTTTTATTAGTTTAGTTTTATATGTTTCTGATGTTTTGATCTTGTCTTGGATGCACTGAGTATGTGCCACTGTTTCAAAAGTGATTCCAATAAATTTGATTTAATTCAGGGGTGGATTTGGGGGCCAGGGGAGGGGGTGGCACTCTTCCCCCTCCCCTTTTTGGGAGGTAAATAAAAGGAAAATAACTGGGTACCTGGTAGATTTTGTGGCACTGAATGTTGGTTGTGTGTATAGCAGCATGACTAGGCATATTCCTAGGGCAGGATGAGTTTCAGTCGGCCTTGTGCTGCTTCAGCCAAAATGATTCTAAAATATACCTATTACATAACTTCTATAGCATAATTATTTGCACGCTACTAAAACATTCTTATTGCATGCTACAAAACATTCTTATACATATTAGTAACACTTATTTATAACTAATGAAATATTAATTATAGAAATTGCAGCAAAATCTACCCTGTATAGTTTATACATTCTACTGTATGTGAGTTGAACATTAAAAACATTTTGGATTTAAAGATTTGAGTAAGCCTCAGTCATATATTAAAATAGTATTATTGTACGGTAATACTGCAATGCAAGTATAAATAACAATATAAATAAATAGTAATAATATTAATAAAAATGATTATAAAAGATTAAGACATTATTTATTATATATGCCTTATGGTGATTTTCTAGTCTCAAGATTATGTTCATAGAATACACATTTATTTATTATTTATTTATTTGTTATCATGTCCAAAAGCAAATACAAAATTTGCCAGTGTGCAGTCATGCACTGTGGGGAGTGGGGAATGAAGCACCCACAGCAGTATCTACAGAGTTATAATATCATTTACATTGCCCTCTTACCCCAGTGGTATCACAGCATTTTATATACCCACAAGCTATAGTTCATCTATTTTAGATCAGCTACAGCTACAGAAGCTGCTAGTGTTAGGGCCAGCTAGCACAGTGCCAGCTAGCACAGTGCCAGCTGTAACAAATGTATGAGTGCAATACAAAGAATATTTTCATAATTTAAAAGTTGGACTGTTCCATTCAACAAAGCAGAACCAAGTTGAATGGAACAGTCCAGGTTTTAACGATTTATACCTCAAAAAGACAAATATTTGAATTGAGAAATTGATCAAACAATACAGCGTTATCAGTACAAATTGATATGTTGATCTTGTTTTAATGCATGCATGCTAGGGATATGCACAGGGGCAAATGACTGCATAAAAAAAAAGATAAGCTACAATGCATTAAGAACATTTCTCACATGATTTGACAAATAAAATAATCAGTTCAGATTAATTCTGTAAATTATTAGACTTGCCCCTCCCTGGGATTGAAGTGGTTTATGCCTCCTTGGTTTATACCAACAATACAAATATAAAACACTTGTCTACATACAGTAGATGTTTAACGTTTGCTTGATTAAAAATGAAAGTATAATTGGATACTTGGCACCATAAACAAAAGGAATGTTGGAATTAAGAAGTTGGAATCATGGTACTTTTTAAATACTGTACTTCATAAAGATTTATGATAACTTTGCACAAAACAATATTTATTATCATTAATATACATTTTAGGAGTTAAATGGAACTGCTAAGATTATCACACCTTAACCTCCCAAGCACATCATTTGACAAATGTCAAACAAATTATATTAATACTACTAATAAAATGATCCCATGACCAAGTATCATTCTATTCCTAAGAGTATTGCTTATAAACCTCATGAAATATTTTTTATTAAACACTATATTTCAAGGTTTTCAGTCTTCAAGGGTTTTTAAAATAATATAAATAAAGATATATTTTATGTCTTTAAAAATTAGCAAAATTTGGTATGAAAACTCTTCCTACCATGATTTTTATGTCTACTTTGTACTCTTCACTATTATTCTCCATATTATTATTACTTATTCAAGTTTATACTATGTATCCTCATACTGCGGCAATTACTGTACATCTGTTCACTTGTTTCAAGTGCACAGAGACCACAGCATTTTCCATGGGATAAATTACGACCTCTAATTTCTTTCTAGGAAACAGAAAGAAATCCAACTAATTGATTCACTACAACATAATACTGTATAATACATTTGTAATATTATGGAACAAGTGAACACTTATTGGTATAGCCACAGATTGGTACTCATAGAGGGAATCATGTGGGTAACGCAAAAGAGAGGGGTAACTCAGACGGATATGTCCCCATAGCTTCTGCCTCTTAGCAGTTCTGGACGGATCCAATCAAATGATATTTGGCTAGGAAATTATGGCCTATTACTGAATAAATTTATGTTTAAATACTGTACATGATTTGTTGGTACAACACAATCTATGTAAAATAATCATTGTATGGAATACTGCATTCCTGAAATGAAATACTCTTATAAATTTGAATAACCTTAATATATATATATATCATGGCACCAGCCTCTTAGAATCTAACATAAATAATAAATTTGGGATGATTTGACTCTCTAAGGGTCATCCACTTTTTAAAAGCAATCATTTGATTATGTTGTTGGCTTTCAGGGAATGTGGAGGGCATCAAAGAAAAAAGAGTATGTTTTTACTCTCCTGTTACTGATGACAAATATGGATGACCTCCTAGTAGAAATACAAAAAAAAAACACAGAATATTTATATTTGTAAGAAAATGGATGCATTATTTCTCTATATATAACTTAGTGATAGACGTAAGCACCAGAGGTTGTGAATAAAAAAAGCACAAAAAATTAAATTTAGTGATATTGCTATTTAAATATCATATCAATGTCATCACACTTTGTGTACTACTTCCATTCAATTCAGGAATGCATGTCAAAGTCAAAAAGAACATACAAAATTACACAAATCAAAAGTGATGTTGGCAGTCTATGATACTTACCTGGATGAACTGATAACGCAAGTTTTCTTTTTAGGAATTTACCTAAAAAATAATGAAATTGTCCAACCAAGGCAAATACTGCTTTTTTCCTCCATGATATAACACAGCAATGTTATGTAACAGGCATAAATTTGCGTTGAGATTGCTATCAATCTTTGGTAAGGATGAGGCAAGTGGGTGTTCATCCATATAAGTATTCATGGAATAGACCACTCTCAACTTAAGTACCAACTTATAAAATATTTTGAATTTCTCCAGTCTGGGAGAAAACTTTCTGTATACTGACAAAATTTATTGTGGTCAGTGCTATAAATGTCCATTAGGTAGAGTATATGCCCTACGGTGGGCTTGCAAACTACTCTTCCTAGGCCGCTGTCCATAGTTATAATGACGGTTGTAACGCATGCCAAGTCCACTCTCTACACTGCTCTTTTCTGTTGTTGCTATGCTTCCCTGTTCCATACTGTCAAGCGAGACCTGATCCAGCATGACGCCTTCGTCCGAGAGTGGTATGCTCCGGTTCCTTCGCAATATCTGGTGCTGCAGCAGTCGTTCTTTGTCCTCCAGGGCACTGAGTTCCTGATCCAGGGCAGCTCCTGGTGACTTGTACTGGGGACTTGCAAGCTCATCATCCTTCAGCAGCTGATCAAGCAGTGCCTCCTGCTGTAAGATTGTTTCTTCCTCCTGCAAGCATACATAAAGAGATAGCATAAAGAAATGGCATAAACAGATGGCAAAAACAGGTGGTATAAAAAGATTTTATAAACTGGTTACAAAAAAAAAATATCAGAAATATTTACTGGAATGAGTATTTTATGAGGTGAAATGTTACACCACAGTCAATTAAGCTAAACCATGCATTCAGAATGTTGACATTTAAACATGATTTTGTGGATTAAAGTGAGAACAGTATCTTACCTCTAATGTCAACTCAACATTACTGAGTCTGTTCTCAAGATCCTTTTGGATTATTTCTTCATGTTCCATCTGTACTGCTTCATAGCGCAGTCGTTCCTGTAACAGCAAGTCTTCAGTCGCCATGCTAAAAGTAAGGACCAAGGTAGATATAGATTAAAAACCACATGCAATTGGACCGCTTACGTGCTGATAGAAACAGGATCGTGACAGTCAAATATATTTTTTTAGAGTATTCAATGCTATAAAATGAATTTAATTATTTAATCTGTACACTGACTTAAAACCTCAAAGTTTAGATCCTCCGGATTTGTTTAACTCATTTATACCTTACTTCATACATGTGCTACATAATGCACTGCAGTAGGCAACATGACCATCTATTTAGTTTTTTAGATTAAACATTTATCTGATTGTATTTTATATAGCGTTTTTATGTATTTGACATATTGTGAATGTAATTTCCAAGAGGACAAATTTGATTCCAATTTCAATATATTATATTTTTGTAATGTTCTTATTTGATGATTTACTAACCTTTGTTGTTTTGCTTGCTGGAGTAAAGCAAGGAAGCTGGCAGTATCCTCATCATCGTCATCACTGTAACTGTTGCTATCATGTTTTGCTATCATTAAAGAAACACCATAACTTAATATATATACACAATACATGATTAATATTTAACAGTTAATAACACTTAATATACATAGAAGGACTGATCATAGTAATTATCAAGCAATAAAAACTAAGACTGCCAAACTGCTATAAATCGTCGCTCACATCACGAACTAACACAATCAAAGTAGATTGTGTTAGTTCGTGAAATCAAGAAAGTGTGTCAAAATACGCACTGCTGTTGTGAAGGACTTTCTGTGTGGTAAAGAATATTATGACAACCAATACGCTCTCGTTTAGATGCACTACTGTGACTTCACGAACTAACACAATCTACTTTGATTGTGTTAGTTTGTGATGTGTGTGAGGAAATGTTAGACAAGACAAATAACTTGTAATTGTAACCTGCCATTTGTCGCAATTTCTAAACTCTCACAAGCACCCAAAACATTTTCTTTTAAACATTTCTAGTTTTTGCATTTTATAAATGAAGCTATATTAAAAAAACATTTCTGCAAAATATCAATCACCAAATCTAACTGAAAAGTATATTAAAATTATTCTTAAAATACAAATCTTAATAATAAACTATTGATTTTGGAATCTTTGGAAGCTGTTTTCTCAAAACCTACAAGGCTGATTTTCAATGAATAAATATTCATAACTTCACTAATACTCAACCAATTTCCATCAAATAAACACTCTTAAGAAAGATTCATGCAGAATCTAAACACACCAAAAATCAATTTTGAATTTTTCCTACAAACAGCTGTCTTTGTCAGAGGCAGTAACAAATATGCAGTACCGTATAACCATGGAAAAAATATATTTTAATATATTATTTACCATATTAAAATATATTTTCTCCATGGTATAACAATAACAAGATAAAGATTTATGTTAATTGTGTATAAATGGACTGAACATTATTCTCCAATTTCACTAATACTATTATCATCATTATTATGCAACAAAAACACCACAATAATAATTAACATTTCGCAAGCAGCCTACCTTTGTAGTTGTGCTGTACAACTGGTGATTCATGTCTTGGTATTGCTCTTTGTTTCCTAGGCACCATTCCATTTTGATGATTTAGCAATCCTTCATTAATTTGGAACAAAACATCTGCCGAGATTTTCACATCTACTGGCTCTTCAGTTGGCACTTTTGGTAGTTTTCTCTCTAACGTTCTTTTCTCTCGATTCTCTTCTTTAGAAGTCTGTATAAGACTGGCAATTAAGGCTCTCTGCGATTCTCGCTCTTCTGTCAGTTTGTCTTGTTGTATCAATTCCTGCATTGCTAATCGTTCTCTTTCCACTTCAAAGTCTGCCAATTCAGAACTAGTTAATGTCCTTCCATCTTTTGGAACAAAGTCTGATAAATGTTCTGTTTTTTCATGCATTAAAGAGGATGGAAGACTGTTTTGACGACGCAGAGTGAGGTTCTCCTTTGGGGTTAATTTATTTGGGCTTTCACGATCTCTGATTGGAAGACTTGCATTCAGAAATGGTTGTTCAGGTTCAAATTCACTACTACCAGTGTCTGCTAAAAATGGCAGCATAGGTATTGTGAGGCCAAGTGTGCCACGTAATGGAGAGCTATCTCCACTACCAGTTACATCATCCACTTGGTTGGGTGCTGATGGACTAGATTGGCTACGTAGGCGATCAATGGGACTTAGTTCCTCAGTTTTCCCCCCAGAGGCATTTACTTCTGACAGCAGAGAAATGTTGTGCAAGACATCACTATAGGTCAGATTAGAATCGCTGTTGAAGCGACCAATACCAGAGTCCGAGGCACTAGGAGGATTAGGAGGTGTGATCTGTTTGATTTCTGCAGCAGTCATTGATTCACAATTCAGGCCTGACTGTCTATAAAGGGTGTTGTTATTGGATGTATATTCGGGGGGTGAATGAAACACTTGGGCTTTTGGGCTGTAGAATATAGAATGTTGGGAGGGCCCATCTCTAGAACTCATTAGACGATCACTTAGATAGTCAATCTGTGGATCCAAAATTCTCCTGCCATTCCCAGCAGGTTTCCCATAAGACATATCAGGTCCAATGTGAGACGGTTGGACAGAAAGCCCGACGTGATTTAACAAAGGCATACTTTGTGCATTTGATTTGCTTAACAGTGGACCATTGCTATGGTGGAATGCATCATGTTCAGTTGGCCACTGCCCTGAGTTAATTGAGTGAACCCAAGATTTAGCATATGCATTGCGTGGAAAGCGTGATGGCAGGACGACTTCCTCTAGATTGGCCATATCATTCTCATCTTCTGATTCTCCATAAATCCCATATGTTTCATCAATTATCTTTTGCTCTGAAGAACCTTTGAATTTTGGAGTTTCTATCATCTTTACTTTTTGTGGTGAATTAATGTACTGGAGAGACAGACTGGTTGGCCGAGGTGCCTGACGTAAAGCTCTCAGAAATGGGGAATCTTGGGATGAAGCGTGGCTTGTGTTCATTGATGTATCTCTAATATCTACTGTAGAACTGCTGAGATATGGGCGTTGTCCCACAGGGGGCTTATGATAGGCAACTCTATCTTGTTGCTGATCGGAATCTTTGCGAGCTGTTCTCGTTTTGACTTTAGGACGGACACTTGGCCCTTGTGACATTCTACTGACCTCACCATTAGGAGCATCAATATTTGTAAATGAAGTAGGCTTTTTCTTGGATGTACGCCTATCCACACTTCCATACGACAACCTGTCTATGTGGCCAGCACTACGGACACTGTTGTTGTTATTACGGTTATGTTTCTTAAATCTGCCATCTGGTGTATCACTACAGCTTAGGTTATGTAATGTGAAATTAGAACTCTTGCCGGAGGATTCTTTTGCTTCCTCTCTCTGTTGGTGAGACTCTTGCCACTGCAATGCATCAAGGATGTCTTTAGAGGAAGGAACATGCCTGATGTCGAGAACTTTCTTCAAAGTACTACACCTGCAAACACGAAGGGTGAGGTATATATATTAATGATACATATTTTTCATTTACTTTACTAGTTACATTGACACAACACTAGCTTTAATGAAGTGTCGAGAAACACAAAGGAAAAAGCAGTTGAATTTAATTTTAAAAATTACAAGTGAGGAAAGAATGTTTCCCTCATGCAACAGAACTCACCTATGACTTAGCAACCTAGCCTGTCTCCTTAGTTTACCCCGCAAAATCACATCGCTTGTTGACTTAAGCTCCTTTAAACTTTCCCCTGATGGTGGTGGATACTTCTTCAAGTACCTCTTCACATCCTCCTGCCATTCATGGATGGCAAGGTCACTACTCTTTCTATGCGTCTTTGATTTTAGTTCATTGAAGACGTCTGGAAGGTCAGGGGGTAAGAACTGCAGTGTTTTCCAGTACCATTTTGAAACCTGATCAAAAAAATAAAATTTAAATCTTGTTGATAGCATTGGTGAAGTTAATATGGGACTGAGACAGTTTTTAAATATAATAAAATTGAAATTGGTTGTTATTTAATAATAAAGGATAATTTTCCATCCAAGTGTTTTGAACATTACATATTTATCAACATTGATTACCAAAATTTGTAATGATAAACCAATAAACACTTATTAACCAACTTGAATTTTAACATAATCATTGTAACCCAATAAACTTAATTCCCTCATTTTGTATGTCATCAAGTTATTTTTAAGTGAAAATATAAAGAATAAATATGAAAAAAAAGCAAAACAAAAACCAAAACATCTTTTTGAATTGATGTTTAATAAATTTAATATTTTTTTCAAACTGTTTTCCTACCTGTTTGTGTAAGACAAAGAAACGATGAACTTTATTTAGAATGCTTTCCTTTTCTGTTAATAGCTCACTGAATTCATCGGTTTGCCTTTTCAGTGCTTTTACTGTCTGTTGTATAGTTTCAATGTTGGCATTATTGTTGATGAGCATTACGTCAGCCTGTTGGAACAATGCATCAACTCTTGCCAACTGGCTCTGAAACCAGAATCAACATATTTAATTCTTAAATCTTGAAGCTGCTAATATTCAAAATAAAATTTCAAATATTTCAAATTTCAATTAATATTATGCATTCAAGCAAAATCACACCAAAGTCAGGCACACACTGCATTGAGTCAATTCTTGGTCTACCTAAGAACTTTCACTGGGATGCCAATTGTCAGTGCCAGATTAAGCAAATCGTTGATGACAACAATCCATTGAGCACAGCTCACTGCATTGCAGTCGCCACAGGATTATGTCAATGACTATAAACCAATACAATGTAATGTGGGTGCTATAAAAATTTGAAAATCTATCTATTTGGACTGAGACATCATTGGAAACATATGAACAAAACTGAATGCACCGACACATGAAATATAATATCAAGAAAGAAATGATGGTTGCATGCAGAAAAGACAGATACAGCCCAATGATAAGTGTCAACAAAACTCAGAATCAGCCATCCCACTCTAAACTATGAATGCAAGTCACCCAAAACAGAAGTTTTTGAAAGTATCTGATTATTTCCATTTATGATGCGACATTTATGACATCAAACTGAAACATATGAGGAATGGAATTGGGTAATTTCTTTATAGAGCTTGCTTCAAATTTGCAATATAAATTGTGACCAAACACTGCGGTAGTATTTGCTCTTCTGTTGTTTTGTTCAATGGTTAGCCACAACTTCTTTTTTACATTCAATTAATGTAATGAATTAAATCGCAATACATTACATAAAATATATGGGCAAAATATGAATAATGATTATAAACTATAAAAGAAATAATAAAGTGACCCCCTGAGAAGCTACTGGATATCACTGTTTAGTGTGTGGTTCTTTACCTTGGAAATAGAGAGACAACTTGTATCAAAGTGACTACGCAGTAGCTCAGCCCTGCCTGCATCACTAGCTATTTCAGTGTGTTTCTTCAGTTCATGTAGGCCTGGCCCATGTAACCACTCAGAAACCTGTAATGAAGATGTTTATCATTAATGACTCAAGTCAAATTAATATAATTGCCACAGGCAATATCCACATGATATCTACATGACACTATCATAAAACAATGCAAAACTCACAGGATGTGTGTCGAGGGAAGAGAGCAGATCCATCAGTTTCCATGGATACTGTAGATCACTCTTATCAAATACAGTCATATTTGCCTCATGAAAAGGTAATTTTATTATTAATAATAATAATAAAACATTTACTTTGAAATATGGTAATTTAATTAGTAAAATTTTATTAAAACACATAATACACATTAATAAAATAATAATAATAATAATTTGAACAGAATAATTCATTAAGAGAAAAGATTATTGACCTCTTTAACGTCATTCTGAAATTGAGCTAACTCCTCAGCATCAACAATCCTCTTCTCCCCTTCCCTCCAAAGCCTTTCAATATGTTGCATAGCTTCCTTCAGGCTCCTGAAGCACATCTCTAGAGTCCTCTTGGACTGCAGGAAGATGGGCTTCTGAGCCATGACACCAAACAATCGGTCATCTTCAGAATGCTTAAGCCTCTTCATCAGATCTTCACAATGACTGTAAACATGGTCAATTCCAATATCCCTGGAAAATTAAGATATAAAAATATTATGAAAAAAAACACACTTTTAAAATATTAACAGATGAATGCCATCTCAGTAAAATGTCTATAGTTACATGTCATTTACCTTAAATTAATGTTGAGGTGCAGGCTAAATTGTATTCTATAATCATTACAATTAAATCATTAAGTTAATTGCTATAACAAAGAGAATTTGAGAAGAGGGATAATCACAAACAGTGAAAAGGAGAATCTTGGAATGATAAAGCATAGGAAAGTATGGTAACATATAGTGAGTATTGTGGAATGACCAATGGTATAAGGAATGAGTAGGAATTATTTTAAAATTTGTTAAATAAGGAAGTTTTGAATTTTACTTTGGTATTGTTTATTTTTTTTAATTGGAATATTAAATATCTTTGCACAGACTACCCTTAGTCAATTATGTCTCTTTATATTGTACACTAATAATAAATTTATCAATGTCTTTAGCTGTCGTTGGAATAAACTCACTCTCTTATATCATCATATTCCTGTAGCATAGCCTGTCTAGTCTGGTGTAGCTGGGTACTTTCGTTGCCAACATTGTACTTCTTAAGTTCCTCCATCCGCTCAAACCCAATTGGAAGCCTTGGCTGCAATGCTTGATACTTCTCAAAGAATGGCTCAATAATCTAAATAATAACAATAATAATGGTTGACAAAAAAAAAATCTAATCCTTCTCCTTTAACTAAGCACAGTTGGCAGTTGACTCTATATATTAATATTATTATATTTATTGCCTCCATCAAGAGTACAAATCACACATAGAATGGGGTCAGACAAAGAAGGAATAAGTTCCTATAACCAAATGGTTTCATCTGCCCCCACCCCCTCAAAAAAAACAAAAAACAACAATTTGCTGTTGACTCTGAGGAGCTCATACACAAGTCAAAATCACAGTGTTGCAAAAAATGAATAGGCTTAACATAGAGGTGTCACAGAAATCAAGGACAATTTAAACACAAATATTCTGACCATGGAATTTAATTTACTGTAAGTTAATAAATATTTTTGTCTTTTCTATTAGTAACATTGATATAAAAATAACAAGAGTGTGAAAACATAAAACAAATTGGTCAAGTCTGTAGACATTTAAAACATTAAAATTACCGGAAACTAGTGAATAATTACAGTAATATTTATCATAAAAAGTTGACAAAAACAAAACACTTATGATTTATACTTACACTTCTGAATCGTAACCAGGCTATGTGGCTATACTGCAGATATCCACCAAGATCTGTTGTCAACTGACTTCGATCAATGTAGTTATGAAGCCCAATGTCATCTTCAACCACGGTGCTCTGTAAGTAAAACAAACATCAAATCATAATGAAAATGTTTCAAAATCAACATCAAAAGTAAAACAATCCTAAATACTGTATTGAGTTAGCGTCAATGTGCAAGATTTCCTCAAACTTTCAAATGTGTGATCAGAAGGAGGAGTGCATCTGCAATCAATAATAATATTAATAATTACTGTTGGCTTTATATAGCATTTTACACCAGAATCTCAAAGCGTTTGAAGCGTGGACTAGCTCGTACAGTAACTGTCTTATCCCCTATAGGGTCTTTTCGTGTCTGAGCTACCTGGTAAACCGGTGCCAGCTAATCTTGTCTGCCCACAACAAGGGCTGTATTGACCACCACACCGGGGTAACCACCCTACTCATCTCGAAAGATTTACTGGTTTCTTTATAATGCACATGAGCCAATTGTGTACACTGGACCTACAGTTAATAGTCATTTCCAAGAAGACTTGTTCCACCTCCAGAACCATAGATGAGCATGCTGTTGGAACCAGCACCAATATTATGGATGTAGGTTACAGCACCCCTGCCTTAACTGCTTGGCCATTGGACTTGCCATCAATCAATGGCTGTGTCTGTTAAGTAGCTCTGTTTAATTGCTGTACATACTTTACGGTTTACAATACAGGATAATTATAGCCATTTTCTATACAGATCTAAATGAGTCAGGTTTTGAATTATTGTTTTAGTGATTTACCTGGAATAGTGGAGTAACAAGGTGTTTATTCTTCTTCTTCTTACTGTGTCTCAAGGCTAGGATTGTCAGTAGATCTTTAGCCAGTTGCTTTGCATGAGGTTGAATGGCGTACATCATTCCCACAGACCCTTTATATTCAGCCTATAGAAGGTATAAACACAATCACAACTTAAATAATTTATAAATACTGCAACTGATTACAGTATGAATGGTTGAAGACAATACGCTTCAAGACCCTATGACATTAGTGGATTGAAAACTACATGATACAATGAAAATATAAAGCATACTTTGATCATTAATTTTACATTAAAGAAACAAAGAGATATTGTGTTTTAAACCTTTGAAAAAAACCAAATGAAATCATTGATTTTAATCAATAATATTGTCATCTGAAAATGACAAAAAAATCATAAAAAATAATTCTGAAATTAAATTGCTCATTTTGCAGCTTACACATTTTTAACTTGAGCAAAGAAATTATTAGTTAAAACAATGTGTAACCTGACTTTTATACTGGATAGTAATAATGAAAAATAATAAAACACTTCCAGTAACTGGAAGTGTTTATAGCATATTTCGCTGTCAAATTATAATAAACATTTTTTAAATAAACTTATTTCTGTTAAATTTGATAATTTTTATGTTACTTTTAAAATGGGAAACGTAATTCAAAACAATTTTTGCAATTTTTGTTTGTGATGAAAATATTTTGATATTATTGTTGTCATTATCATACATAAAAGAAATGCCAGACATTAAACAAGAATATTTATTACCTGTAAACTATTGAGGGCACTCTTCATGATGGAGATCAACTCATATGTCCCTCTTCTCATGTCTACCACAAAAGCAAATCCATTTCTCTGACACTGTGCGCTGGTAACAAAGAATATCACTATATTAACAATATTAAATTGTCATACATTCTTTACGCAATAGCTACGGAACTCTTTCAGTTCATAAATTATACTTCATCTCATGGCTTTCTTCATTGGTTATGTTTAATTGTTCAATTTGTAACTAATAATAGTGCATACGTCATTAGTAATACCATTATGAGGACAGATATTATATTTTATTCAATTCGACACAAGAAAAACAAGGTGGATTGCCATGTAAGAATAACAACTGTTCGCAGAACACTGTCATCATAAGGATGTGTTACTGTTCTTCACCAAATCCACATAATAACATAGATAATATTATCATGAAATTTTACTAAATTTCAAATAAATTTATGATCATTTTTAAAATTTATATTACGCTATTTATATGAAAGTATTACTTATATAATAAGTAGTGCATTAAAGTAATACTGTACAGTCAACAGATTTTGAATATCATAAAATTCTATAGCAATTTTAAACCAGGTAATAAAAGGAGAACATATATTTACAAGATAATTTAGTATGCAATTTACTTTATTAAAATATAAATTTACTATCATTTCTATTCAAATTCATATTACACTATTTATATGAAAGTATTATTTATATAAAGTATATAGACTTTGAATATCATAAATATTCTAATAATTTTAAACCAGGCCAGGTAATAAAAGGAGAACATATATTTACAAAAGAATAATAATTTATTGTACTTTATTAAAATAATGATAATTTCTCTTCAAATTCATATTACCCTACTTATATGAAAGTATTATAAGTACTGTATTAAGGTAATATATATTGTGAACACCGGTATTATAAATATTCTATAACAATTTTCAACCAGGTAATAAAAGGAAAACATTGTACCTGTCTAAGCTAATGAAATATGTCAAGATGTGGTCCAGTCCACTTGCTTTGACACGGCGCTCAAGTACTTCATGGTTCTTGGCTGGGAATGTGATAATTGGTCTGCCTTCTTGGTCATGACCGCCGGACAGTATGGCCACCTCCGTTTCCATGAGCTCATCACTGGGCATTGTGGCCAACTGGCCTAATCTGGCCAAGTCTTCATCTATAAAACAAGCAACAAAATTACTGTATAACACTTGAAATTGAAAATCACAGAAAAGGTTTCCATGATCCAATTTAAATGTTTTTTAATGTTCTTCTTTATGTTTTTTTTTTCAGTGTTAACTTTACTGGTATTTGTAATCAAAACAAAATGAATTCAATATTTAATAATTTGGTGTTGCCTATTTATTGTGAATATCATAAAAATATAATGTAAAACATTCCAGTCAAGTCTCTGTGTGGCAATAAATGATAGCTGTGATTATTCCTCATCTATTAAAATAATTTATACAAATTTCTTAGAAACACTAATAAAATGTTTCAGATGTATAGTACTGTGTATATTATTACACAATGGTGGACGTTTTACATAAGAAATAATAAAATACGGAAATTTGAATTATAGTATTTACCAAAACTTTACTGCATTATATACACAAAATAATTATTGTTTGCTTTGGGAATCATATTTGATTGGATTGTGCAGTTATAGCCTAGGGAATTTTTCTGTGAAAAGTGATTAACAAAAATATGACATGCATAAACTCCCTCGGCCAGCCTTAAAAAAAAAAAAACCATTAAAAACGAAAAAAGAGATAAAAGCCTAAAAAACTTTAAAGCAAAATTGTTAGGAAATCTACACAAGTAACATTAAAATAAGAAAAATAGCAAATAGATGAAAAACAAGTTTATTTCAAAATGCAAAAAACCAATTAAATCTTAAAATATTTCAATAAAGAAATATTGAAAAATATAATGTTAAAAATCAAACACAATACTATTTTAACACATTGAAACTGAAATAATTAATTATAATATAGATATGAATACTGTATATAACAGACATTTTACATACAGTAGGCCTATGTTTATAATACTTCACACTACAGTATACAGTAATGTCACATCATTCTGTGACGGAAGCAGTATGTTTTAATTTATCAAAAGTGACTATGAACATGCACAACTGTTTCCATGGCAACATGTCTGCAGGCAAATTTAACAAAGCTGCATTCTATTATTAAAAATAGAAATGGCTGAGCCTACTTAATACCATTTTATTTGGTCTACATTATTCACAGTTATGTAAAAGTATTTGTATAAATGTCAAGAGAAAGGAAGAAAAACAACGAATCCATTCTAATACCTAAGGAACTATTGGTACTGAAGTTTGTAATCAATTTCTGTTAATAAATATTTAATAACAAGAAGTATAACTGTATGCTGTTTGGCAGGCCAGAAATATGGTATGAAAAGGTGGTGTGGGATTTGGTTAACTTATGAAGGTTTATATTTTGGTTGCAGTTTAGGGAATTCTGTTTCTATTACAGTACTTCTTAATATTGGTTGGAAGCCTGTCAAATAGATTTTGGGTTTATTTATCAATTTGAACAATAAAATGTAGAACTCTGAATGTAGTCTCAAGAAGATTTTCTCTACTTGAAAGTCTTTAGCCAATCACAGGACTACAACCATTGTAACAAAACAGATTCAAATGAATTACGGTAATGAGTCACAAACAAAAAATACAATCAAAGAAAATAAATATTAAGATATAATTATCACTTTGATAAATTTTCTCACCTACAGTAACAGGTAGAACAAAACATTTAAGACTTTTGGGAAAATGGATAAAAATATGAATTTCCTTCACCATGTTAAAGTTCATAAAAATCTCATTGATACAATGACAGCAAAAGAAAAATAATAAATTGTACTATATCTAAGGCTACAATGCTACGGTGTACCCCACCAGTAGAGTAAGCTCTACCTAGCTGAGCAAGGCTAAGTACCCAAAATAGCATTCAAATAGGTGAACTCCATTCTTATACCTTGGCCAGTCATGGTGGCACGGAACCGTACATTCTTCTTTCGTTTCATTGCACAAGTGTTTATTTAGTATTCTGGAGAATGGAAATAGAGCCACCTTGATGCTTAGCAAGATTTAACCATCAAGTGAAACATGCCTTAAAATTACACCAATGGCTTCAATAATAGACTAGTTAATTTAATTTCTTAGTAAATCTTTCATGAAATATTTGTTTAATTCAATTTAATTTTGTTTTATTATTTCACCATTTAAACACCATAAAAACATAATTTACCAATTTAAATTTTTATTTTATGAACAATGAACATTTAATTGGTATTTTTCATGATAATATAACAAATGAAACTGCCTAAATTTAATAATAGGTATAATTCACTATCTACTATAAGGTAGATGGACTTCATGATACAACCATACACTGGTAGGCCTAAAGTACAATTTGCCAATTTTAACAACTGGAACTTAAACAAAAAATTAAAATGTTATTATTCATTTAAGAAGATGCTCTGTGAACACCATTTCATCAGGTAATGCTTAAAAAGATCTGAACGCTAGCTAATAACCTTGTGTTGACAGAATCAGTGTACTTGTCATTAATAATTTGAATATTGATGTTTAATTAGACACACCTAAACATCTGTTGCTGAAAACTGATCGAATTTAAGTACTATAGTTGGTAGTGGTATCAGTGAGCAAAATCTCATTTTGTAAACAATGGATAGGGCATTAATAATCATACAGTTAAATTGTGCTCCATTCATGCGGAAAAGATTCATATTGACAAGAAGTCTGTGTATTGCAGCAAACCCGATTATCAGGGTTTTTGGCCAAAATAGTTTTTATACCAAAATATTTTGGGTTTGCATATATCACCTGAATCATATTAAAAAAATGAGTTTTGCAGTTTAGAACAAAGTACTAAATTGTAGTCTGTTTAATATTTTGTTTTTTGTTTCTTTAGACAGTTAAAACTAGCTCAGGTATAAGATGTTCATGATATTAATTGTAGTCATATTAGGACTGGTATATTAAAAGTAGTATAAATACTGTATCTCAAAAAAATGTAGCTATTTTTTATGAAGTATGAAAATTGTAGATTGGATCGATAAAATAAATAAAATAAAAACTCTCAACAAGACATAGATTCACTGATAAACAAAACTAAAATACTGTATTATAGCAATGATGATGAACTTATAATTTATGTATACTGTACTGTACATAGGAATTCAAATCTAATGAGTTTTTAAAAGCTGCTTTTGTTAATTTCCTGTGAATACTAAAAAAAGAAAATAACTGGTTTGGACAGTTCATGGTTTCCTGCATCACAACCACGAGACACCCATTCACAGATGCCTGTTGTCAAGATTTTCACTTCAGTATAATGATACACAATAGCTTGAAAGATTGAAGATAAGAAATGTACAAATCACATAGGCCTACCGTACTGTATAGTTCCAATATTATTATTATCATCAAAGTAATTTGCATAATTTTTATATTTGACATAGAATAATACAAGGTATACAATTTTGTTAGTCTTCATGTTAATTGTTGTAAAATAATGTGTAAAAGAAAGTGGGGAAGGATACAAGTGAAGGAATAATGGAGAAGCCTAATGTTATTTTCTGTAAGTTTACAGTAATATATCCCAATAAATTATTAAATTTTATAATTTGCATGAAACTTACAGCACTCATTTTAAGAGACAGGGTGTCAAGTAGGCCTGTTGAGTTTCATAATTCGACAATGAACTTTGACATTAGATGATTTCCACAGTATTGTAATTTTGAAGCAATGTACTGTACTACAGTTAACGTCTTATAGCCTATTACTATATTAATTAAATTCATTAAATGCCATTTTAAAAATTAGATCAGACGATGATTACATTGAAGTGAGTATAGACAAGAGCGACCGCTCACCGGTAGACATGTTTCTTCACGTTTAAATATGGTACAGGCGCAAGTTATTATATTGGGTTTTTGGAAGAGCTAATAAGATAGAATTTTTTTAATAATGAGGATGTTTATTTGTACAAAAAAATTATTATTTAGAATTTTCATTTGTACAAAATTAAAAATATCTTAAAATTAAAAAAAAATAAAAATTCTTAAAAATTATTTTTTAGAATGTTCTTTTGTACAAAATTAAATGAAATAAAATTTCTTAAAATTGGAAAAAAAAAAATTGAATACCAAGACGTGATTCAAACTTACAACCTTAAGTTCTTTAGAACACATCCTTAACCAGCCGCGCCATCCATGCGATGTTCCCTATTAGTGGTAATCGTAGTAATGTACAGTCCTTGCTGAAACCCCTGTTTTGTTTTGTTGGTGTAGGGGGGACCCTGGGGTTCAACTTAAAAAAAGGGTGATGAACTTTGTTGGAAATCACCTCTAGTTTAATGTGTACAAAATTTCCTGCATGTCCTTCCAAAACTGGCGACGCTGGACACTTTTAAAGGTTTGGTAATAAGAACAATGAACAGCAGTATGGCTCTTGGGTCAGCGCCTTGTGTGGACCCAAAAATACATTTCATAACCGAGATGTATCATAAATGCTAAGAACAATTTGTTAGGTTGCCCAAGCAGTTACTGTATAATGGGAAGTAAGTGTCTTTCAGTCAGCTTCCCCCACCCCCTACAGGTACTATACTGTACATTTAGTCAGCTTCCCCCACCCCCTGCTATACTGTACATTTAGTCTGTAATTTTATGTTATTTTCAACCATTACTCACCACATACATTTTGGTGGGTATGGTTACCATAGAACTACTGTACAGTTATCAAAGATTAACTTAGGAAAAGCCAATCTTCAGGATTATGGGTCAGTTGGGGCTTGAGTACAGTAACACAATTTTCAGTTTGGCACAATCAAATAAAATGGCACGTCATAGCCTTGATACAACATGCGCTAGTTACGAAATGCTAATTATTTTTTAATTGTAGATTGTGAATGAATATAAACATGTTTATACAGTATAATTGTGCATGTGTGTGTGAAATAAATCAGTAGCCTGAATTCAAAATAATGTAGGCGTTACAGTACATCCATAAATTTATTATTCCTGCCTAAAAAAGCACCTTTTTAATAATTAATTTTTTGGTATAATTTTTGTGTGTAATAGCACTTGAGAAACTATTATAGGGCGCTTTATTAAAATCCTTTATATTATTATTATATCATTATTATTATTATTATTATTTGCGTGGTAGTTAACAATTACAGCAGATAATGAACATAGGCCTACAGCACAGTATATTAAGAATTTGTGTGCTAAACACATTTTGTATTGTACTGTATTGTACTGTATTGTATTTTTAATCAATGCCTTTCATTCAAGGACTACTAAAATCTTACTGATAATTATAATTAATAAATACTGTATGTAAAAAAGTAATAAAATGAATGTGGGAAAGGCAAGCAACATGTTTTTATGTCAATTCGACAAGCGAAGCCTAGGACAGAAATAACATACAAGAGATAAACGTAATCACATTATGTAGGGATATCTAAAAAAATTCATCTTGTTTGCATCCAAATTATAGTGATCAGGCAAGTTAATTCTCCAACATTTAAATATTAGAATAAAATCTATTTGATTGAATTTGAGCTTGTGGTTGATTTTCAGAAACTTAAAAATAGTGCCATCGGGCATATAGTAGGTAATCTATGATAGTTGTGACCTTTTAAAGAACAATGCATATTAGAGAAAAAAAACTTCGAGTGATGCCATAATTTAGTATACAATATACTGCATACAGTAGCACCATGGCAGTGGATAGGTGACTGATTTCCCACCTCTTAAAAAACCACTAGGGAGTCAATAAAGTTCCTTCATATTTGGTCAAAATATTAATACCTTATCTAAAAATGGTTACAATCTTTAGAAAGAACTTGCCTTTCAGCTAAAAAAAAAGAATTGGATTTTTTTTCGAGCATAAAAACATCAACTACAGTATAAAAGATGGATGATAACAAAACAAATGCATGACATTTCTTTGAACTTTAATTTGCATATTAATGTATGACATCATCATATCCAATCAAAAATGCATTTAAAAAAAACACCCAACACCATGACAAGGCAATGCAAGTCCACCGTTGAACGAGTAACCAAAACAAGGAAGTGTGATGTCACAATTTGTAATTAAAACATAAAGTTTAATAAGACACTTAAAATTCACATCCATAACTGATATAACATGAAATACAGTAAGCATATTAATCTGTAAAGTAAGCATATGGGCCTAGTTTATATATTAATAATTAATAAGCTAATTTACATAAATGATCATTATAAGGATAATCATATACCTCCTCAAATTATCCAGAATTTTATCTCAAAGTTGTCTTTAGGAAAATCGCCGGGCTTAGATGGCATCGATAGCGAACATCTTAAGTACGCTGGTGGAAAAATTAATGTTTTATTAAGTTTCTGTTTTAACGCTATGCTTGTGCATGGGTACATTGTTAATGACTTTGTTGAAGTTGTCCTTATTCCGATTGTAAAGAATAAGTTAGGTGACGTCACGTCAACAAATAACTATCGTCCAATTGCATTAGCCTCTGTGTTGTCCAAACTGTATGATAAGCAGAGGTTCTCAGTCCGATGGGGTCTTAATACCTCCAGAGTGTTTAAAGTTTCAAATGGAGTGAGGCAAGGTGGCGTCTTGTCTCCTTTCCTATATAATATCTATATGAATGACCTTAATATTATTCTTAGTAACTCTAGATATGGATGTGAATATGCTGAAATGAAATTCAATCATTTAAGTTACGCCGATGACATGGTTTTGTTGGCTCCGTCGATGGACGGGTTGCAGCATCTTGTGCAAATATGTGAAATTTACGCCAATGGGCATGATATTATGTACAATGACAAGAAATCAGTGTGTATGAGGTTTATTCCTAAAAGTATGAAGTCTTGTAGTACCCCCAAAACATATCTCAATAACAAAAACCTCAAATATGTTGAATCCGTATCATATCTTGGTCACATAATATGCTGTGACCTCAATGATGAGCTTGATATCAAAAGACAAGTAAGATCACTGAGTATACGTGGAAATGTAATCTGTAGAAAATTTAGCAATTGCAGTGATGAAGTCAAATGTATATTATTTCGTTCTTTCTGTATGAGTTTTTATTGTTCTACGCTCTGGTCTATGTATAG